ACATGTTTCTTACACCCCCATTGACACAACTTAGATCATTTACGAGGTGGGCTTCCAACCCTGCCTATCAGAGCCAACCCGAACTGAGAGAGATACAACAACCCAGCAGATAGGCCAAGACACGAGTAATTTATGGGGCGCGCAACTGCATCAGTAAAAGGGGGAAAACCACAACAAAGTTCTGACCCATGAAATAGTTGATGAACTCCGAGGTGAACTGCGGCTGTCCTTGAACTTTCTTCCTGGCTTCCTGCTTCTCTACCGGAACCGTCTGCGACTGAATTGAGTAGGATACAAAAATAACAAAAGTGAACATTAAAAGTTTTATTTTTATGTTAGAACCCAGTGAAAGAATAAGATTTAATATCGTGTAGACCATCCCTTGGTTATAATCTATGAGTCACCAGTGATTCTTCAATAAAAACCTACTTTAAAAACAGAGAAAATTTACTTTAGTTAGTAAATATGTTTCAATTCCAGGAGAAATGAACATTTCCTTCTTCAGCAAATGGCAAATGAAAATATTCTGAAACATCAAAAAAAGACAGTGAAATGCGGTTAACTAGCTGTGAAATGAAAAGTTCCTATATTTACGGCGAAGGTTACAGTCTTTGAAAGGACCAGACAGCCAAGAGAGTAGCCATACATGAAATGGAACCTGCTCTTACAGCCACCTGCATTAGACAATCACCTGTACAAACATCCATTTCTCACCTGCGTTAGACAATCACCTGTACAAACATCCATTTCTCACCTGTGTTAGACAATCACCTGTACAAACATCCATTTCTCACCTGCGTTAGACAATCACCTGTACAAACATCCATTTCTCACCTGTGTTAGACAATCACCTGTACAAACATCCATTTCTCACCTGTGTTATGACCCCCATCAGTTCTGCTTTCCTCAAGAACCCCCTGACCGCCGACGGACTGCTGTGGAGGTGTCGTACCATCTTCTGGGTCGGCACTGACACGAGACAAGACACACAGAGTGACAGAGTTTTGAAATTGCACATTCCAACTCACAGTTTAAGGTCATCAGCCGACAGAAAGAAATTACTTTTTCCTTCCATGAAACTTCAAACAGTGCGTGAAAGGGCATTTGTTTATCATGGCCCCAAGATCTACGCTTTGTTTAATACTCTAAGAGAGATATGTCACATAATAATTTCTGTTTTAAGATAAATGAAAGATATATGTGAGGCAGCATGATGAAATCAGGCTCTCGTCAAAATAATGAAATCTGAGAAACAGGCGTTTATCTGCCGTGTGGAATGTTGTATAGAATTTTTGTTTTTTGGTTTAACCTAACTTATGTCCAAATAAAAACACTTCCATGTGAATTCTACTGAAAAGCATTGATTAAAGGCACAAAATAGGTCATTTTTTCCTTTTCAAAGACTCTTTAGCTATCAAATTTACCAAACTTTGGGGGCCATTTTTTCGCTAATTTTATCACTAAAACCAGGCGATCCAACCTCTTTCTATAGACGGGTATTTTATTCATTGAAAGCAAGGAAAATCAATAAGCTTTCAGATAATCCAAAGAACTCCACTATATAATATAAATGTTGTTTACTACCATCATTTATTTGAGAAAACAGAAACACATTTACACAATAATGGTCAAAAAGAGAAGGGGGAAAAATCAAGACAAATAGTAATTATAACAGAGAGAAAGAAAAGGAGGAACTGCCGTTGTCACCCTCCAACCACCCTCAAAGAGAAAAAGAAAGAGCAGACATTTAATTTTGGGCTCTAGTGAAATGTTGACCAGCAATGGTATAGCAAACTGACAATGGATAAATCCTGCTATAAAAGAAATGAAGAAAGAAAAGGGATTGATAGTAAATCATTTTCAAAGACGTCAGCACAATTAGCACTCCGACACAAACATCACAAATAAAGCAGACAAACCTTGGTGTAAGGAATATAAAAGATCACAGACAACGTCAACGTGAAAATACTCACGCCACGTCGGAGGTCGTTTCAGTTTGGACAAACTGTACTTCTCTCTGTGCCTCTTCAGCTTGCGATGAAAGCGCATCTGAGAGGAAAAACAGAGAGGAAATAATTTCGTACCAAATAATATTGTCGGAAAGAGACTTGAGAATTGAAAAGGAAAAACATGGTATCTGTGAGAGGGAAAGCAAAAAATCTGTGCTACGAAACAGAAGAAAAAGTGAAGAGGTCAAGTTAACAGCCAGTCAGAACATCATCATCATTGCCTTTCTCACCCTGGGTCAGGATATAGGCCACGAACAAACACTCTCCACCTTTCCCTATCCTGGGCTAGTCACCCGATGTCACTCTACGCCAATCTAACACTTTTCTTGTCATTATTCAGCCAGAACAATAACAACTGAATTATTAGGTGGCATTGGCAGTTAAGTGGTTAGGCTACCAGACTCGTAATCATAAGGCTGCAGGTTCAGGGGTGTGAATTTCAGCTCTGCCCGACATTGTGTCCTTGGGAAAGGCATTTTACGCTAACACTCCTAGCTTTATCCAGGTGTGAATGGGCACCTGGAAATTCTATTGATCCATATTTATGCAACTTCGAGGTCTTGCAGAGCACAAATGATGTGAGCACTAAGTTACCTTCTCCTTCTCTTCCACCATCAAGTTTTGATTTTCAGCTCTGCCCGACATTGTGTCCTGGGGAAAGGCATTTTACACTGACACTCCTCACTTTATCCAGATGTGAATGAGTACCTGGAAATTCTACTGATCCATATTTTTGTGACTTTTGTGGTCTTGCCAAGCACAGACGATGTGAGCACTAAGTTACCTTCTCCTTCTCTTCCACCATCAAGTTGGGCTTGTGCATCTTGACCTGAGACTGTATGGCCAGCCAGTTCCTCC